AACTACGGGACTTACTAGATAAGGGATTTATACGCCCTAGTTCCTCACCTTGGGAAGCTCCAAGTATTGTTCATGAAAAAGAAGGACGAGTAGTCTATGGCTATGCATTGAGTATTGAGAATTGAATAAGGTGACAATTAAAAATAAGTACCCGTTACCTCGGATGATGATTTATTCGATCAATTACAAGGTTCAATGGTGTTCTCTAAAATAGATCCGCAATCGGAATACCACCGATTGAGGGTAAAATCGAAGGATGTGAAGAAGACAAGCATTCGGGATAAGATACAACCACTACAAATTCCAAGTAATGTCATTTAGATTGACTAACTCCCTAGTCACTTTCATAGACTTGATGAATCGATTCTTTAAAGAATGCCTAGACAAGTTTATCATTGTATTCATCGATGATATCCTTGTTTACTCTCGAAGTAAGGAGGAGCATAGGGGGCATCTAAGAGCCATCTTGTAGATGCTAAGGGAGTAGTAGTTATGTGCCAAATTCAAGAAATTTGAATTTTGGCTAGAGCAGAATAGCTTTTCTAGGTCACGTGGTGATAAAAGAAGGCATAACGGTAGATCTAAAAAAGGTAGAGGCTATCCGAAACCGACCTACCTTAAAGAACGTAACAAAGGTACGAAGCTTCTTAGGGTTAGCCGATTACTATTAGAGATTTATGGAGAGCTTCTCTAAGATAGCTAGGCCTCTTACTAATTTAATGAAAAAGAGCATTAAGTTCCAATGGATGGATGCCTATGGGAAAAGATTCCAAGAATTGAAGCGAAGGTTAGTCACGACCCAAGTGCTAACTATCCCATTTGAAGATGGAGATTTTGTGGTTTACATTGATGCTTCCAAGAATGGGCTAGGAGTGGTGTTGATGCAGTAATGGGAAGGTTGCCACCTTGATAAGTACCAAATTATGCAAAATTTTAGTGTCAAAAGTTCCTTTATTTCAATTACCTTAGGTGATAAATGGTACAAGTTTGGCACTTATCTTCTCTAAATTATGTTATGCGAGTCGTACTACATTATTTTGGTAAAAAGGAATGTAAACAAAGTAAGAAGGAGCAAACATTTATGAGCTTTGAATGTCAAATGACTTACACAATCGGGGACATGACCGTGTAACTAGAAAAGAGCTAATATGTAAAACAGAGAGTTACATGGGCAAGTACACCGTCGTGTACTAGGCTATGTAATCGTCTACTTCGAGGAAAAATTACATCCGTACTACATGGACAAAGACATGGCCGTGTACTTGGCCGTGTCTTACGAAATGTGATATTTTACTCCTATTTAATTAGAAACTCAACCTAGAAAAGAGGGGGGCCGAGATACATGAGGACGACCGAGAAGCATGAAAAGAACTAGGGTTTTTGAGCAAGATAACACCATTGGAGTGGATTCTCATAGATTTTGAAGGAGATTGCATCAAGATTAAAAGGGTTACAATGTTTTCCTTTAATTTGGATTGTTTTCTCGTTTAAGATTTATGTATTCCTTGCTTTGATCATGAAAAAAATTATTTGTTACCTAGATACGATGAGCCCTAAGATTGACTATGTAATTTGATATCTTCATTCAATTCAATTGTTATTTTTATTATGATTCAGCTTATGTCACTTTTATTATTAATTTAAGTTAACATAAGCTAGGATGTTGATTCATATCTCGATTTCATACTCGTGAGATTGAAAATTCCTAAGTATGATTAGATTAACCATGACCGAAAGGAGTTGCATGCAATCCTAGAGATAGGATGACATAAATCCTCTAGATTAAAGTCAAATCTAATAAAGGAATTCATAGAATAGATTAATGCGATCTTGGGGGTGTTAATTAGAAAAAGATTTCAATTAATCAACTCGGCATTAGGTGTTAGTTAACTTGAGAAAGTACTTAGCATAATTCAGGAATTCCTACGATTCAATGAATATAAAGAATGATTGAATAAAAGAAATTATGATTACCTAGAAGATCTACGGTGGTATTCGTTATCCGGGTTCTACCTTCACCATTGATTGCTCATCCGATTATTATCGTCATTCTCATTGCAATTTTGTAATCTTGTTTTAATTATCGTTGCTTTTATTTGATTCATTACCACTATAATTCATTAGTTAGATAATAAATAGGAGGTAATTACTAGTACTCTTAGTCGCTGTAGGATCGACACTCGATACTCTATCAATTATACTATAGAATGATAGGTGCACTTACCCAAAGTCTATAGGTTAAGAAATGGGCTATGAAGTTTTTGGGGTCGTTGTTGGGGACTAGGATATTAGGAAAATTTTATTTTTATTAATCTAGCCATTTAATTGTTTATTTATTTATTTATTATTATTATTTATATAATATTTAGTTTCGTTTTTATTTATCATATTTTCTTTAAATTATGCTTTTCTTTGTTCGTGCGAGTTTTTTTAGGAGCCGAGTTAGTGTATGACTCGCAACAACCCGACCGAATTAGTTGAGCCGGATCCCGAAATAGAAAGAACAATTCTTCAAAACCTCGGGAATCAATTTAGAGAAAGAGAAGAAGAGTTAGATAGGGAAAGAGAATAAGAACATCGGAGGGAAGGAGAACCGCGGATAGTCATGGCCGAGGAAGAAAAAACCATGTTCGATGACGCTAGACCAAATTTGATAGGAACAGAGTTTAGCATTCTCGGACCAATTGCTACGGCCAACAACTTTGAGATAAAACCGAAGATCATTCAAATGGTGCAACAATTTGTGCAGTTTGATGGGTTGCAAGACAAAGACCCAAATGCTCACTTAGCCAACTTCTTGGAAATCTATAACACATTCAAGATCAATGGGGCTACAGATGACGCCATCGATTTAGACTATTCCCATTTTCATTGAGGAGTAGAGCTAAGTAGTGGTTGAACTCCTTTCCTAGGGGATCTATTACTACCTGGAAAGACCGCAAAGCTCGGGAATGATATCTCCTCATTTGCGCAGATTGAGTCGGAGACACTTTATGACATATGGGAGCGATTTAAGGATTTATTGAGGAGATGCCCACACCATGGCATACCTACATGGATGCAAGTTTAGACTTTCTATAGTGATTTGAATCTAGATACTAGGCACATGATAGATGCAATAGCTGGAGGCACTCGAAGAACAAAACACTTGATGCAACTCGGGAATTGATAGAGCAAATGGCTATGAATAATTATCAGTGAGAGCACAACTAGAACAAAACCAAATAAACCAGCAGGTGTTTATGATGTAGATGTAGTCATAGCTTTAGCGACTCGAGTGGAGGCTCGAGTAAGAAGATGGATGGTCTATTAGTAGTACAACAATCGATTTAGGTTATGCGAGTTTGAGTTATGTGGAGAAGGACATTCGAGCCGGGATTGCAAAGGGGTAGTTAATTACATGGGTAATGTCGCTCGTACTCAAAATAACCCATACAAGTAATGTTTACAATCCAGTTTGGAGAAATCACCCCAATTTCTCTTGGGGAGTTCAAGGACAAGTAGAGACAGAATCATCCACCTAGATTTCAGCAGTGGAATTCATCTCGAGAGAAGAAGCCTAGTTTGGAAGAACTTATGACTAAGTTCATTCAAACATCCGATTCTCGATTTTAGGCAATTGAAACGAGCATTGAGAAACCAAGAGGCTTCTATCCATAACCTTGAGAAACAAAATGGGCAACTTGCCAAGTCCTTTTCCGAGAGGCGGGAAGGTAGTCCGCACGGTAATACCGAGACTAATCCCGCAGAACATGTGAAGGCGGTTTCTCTTAGAAGTGGAAAGGAATTACGAATGGAGGAGAAGAATGGTGAAGAAGAGAAAATAGTCGAAAAGAGTAAAGAGTCGAAAAAGCTAACGAGCAACCTCAACCAAGTGAAAGACATCAAACGTACCATTCCATATCCTACAAAGCTACAAAATGACCGCATGGATGAATAGTTTGGTAAATTTCTTGAACTTTTTAAACAGACTACATATAAATATACCTTTTGGTGAAGCTTTTTGCGAGATGCTAAAGTATGCTAGATTCTTTAAAGAACTTCTTTCAAACAAGAGGAAGTTGGAAAAGTCGTCAACAGATGGCATTGAGTGAGGACTCGCTTCTGCTATCCTATAAAACAAGCTACCCAAAAAATTTCAAGACCCAAGAGTTTTACTATTCCTTGCTCATTTGGTAGTTTGCTAGTTTAAAAGGCTGACCTTGGGGCTAGTATAAATTTAATGCCTTATAAAATGTTCAAGAAACTAGGGTTGGGAGAACCTAAATCGACAAGAATGAGCTTACGGTTAGCAAATAGATCCGTTAAATACCCTAGAGGTAAAATTAAAGATGTGTTGGTTAAGGTAGATAAATTTATTTTCCGAGTTGACTTTATGATACTTGATATGGATCAGTATGTAGAAGTACCGTTAATCCTAGGACGACCATTTTTAGCTACTCGCTAGAGCCATTATTGATGTTAGTGATGGTAACCTTGTTCTTAGGGTCCGGGAGGAAGAGGTAAATTTTCTTGTATCAAAATCTATGAGACATTCTCTTGAACATGATGACAAATGTTATTTCATTGATGCTATTGATACTACAGTTTTAGAATCTATGCGGGAAATTATATATGATTATCCGTTGGAGCTATGTATCCTTCAAGGTGAGGAGAATGATGGGGATGACCCCATTAGAGTTGAGCAAGTAGATCGTCCGGAAGCTACCGAGTTCATGATTTGGAAGAAGGAGTTTGAGGAGATTGACAAGGGTAAGGAAAAGAGATTAAAACCCTCTATTGAGGATTCGCCTAGTTTGGAATTGAAAACTTTATCGAAACATTTAGAGTATGCGTTTCTTGAACAAGATTCAAAGTTACCGGTAATAATTTCTTCCAAGCTAAAGGTGGATCAAAAGAAAAAGTCGTTAGATGTTTTTAGAGAGCATAAGAGGGCTATCGCTTGAAAAATTTCGGACATTAGAGGAATTAGCCCCTCTTTTTGCACTCATAAAATCTTGATGGAGGATGATTTTAAGCCAGTGGTGCAACCTTTAATGAGCTCTATTATCTTAATTCGGGGGGACAATGCTGGACGGTATGTGGATGATGAAGCCTCTTCTCTTGTAGTTCAACTAATGTTTATGAATGTTTAAGTTTTCTATATTATGAATTTTCAATTTATTGCACGGGTAACGTTTTATTTACTATTTCGGATGGATCGCCTCCATTGCATAGTTTGGTAAGTATTGGAGGACAAACGTTCTCTCTCGATAGGTCGGCTTCCAATTTAGGCCATCAAAGCGATACTCGTCGTTGACATTCTTGGAAGGATGACTTCGTACTTGAGCAAATCCACACTCCTTTAACAACCAATTCCGCTTTTGGAACTAGTTTGCTTCAAGGAGGAGAAGAAAATGTGGGCCAATTCCTTTATCTAGAAGGGGTCGAGTATGAAGGAATTTCGGACATTAAACTTCTCGATGCGGGAGTGATTTACCCTATTTCGATAGTTCTTAGGTGAGCCCCGTGTAGGTTGTTCCAAAGAAAGGAGGGATGACGGTGGTCCCAAATGGAAAAAATGAGCCGATTCCAACAAGAACGGTCACCGGATGGAGAGTGTGCATTGACTATAGAAAGTTGAATGATGCCACTCGGAATGACCATTTTCCTCTCCCATTTATTGATCGGATGCTCGGAGCGACTAATGGGACACATGTATTACTATTTCTTAGATGGTCTTTCGGCCTACTTTTAGATTCCTATAACCCCCGAAGACCAAGAAAAGACTACATTCACGTGTCCCTAGTGGCACATTCGCCTATAGAAGGATGCCATTCGGGTTGTACAATACACCTCGCTACGTTTCGGAGGTGCATGATGGCCATTTTTTATGATCCGGTGGAGAACATAATGGAGATATTTATGGATGATTTTTCCGTTTTCGGTGATTCTTTTGATTTATGTCTCCATAATTTGAAAAGAGTGCTTGAATAGTGTGAAGAAACTAATCTGGTTTTAAATTGGGAAAAATGTCATTTTATGGTACAAGAGGGTATAGTCTTAGGCCATAAAATCTCTTATAAGGGGATTGAGGTAGATAAAGCAAAAATTGAAATAGAAAAACTACCTCCCCAACTTCGGCTCAGTGCTATTAGAAGTTTTTTGGGTCATGTAGGCTTTTATAGAAGATTCATAAAAGACTTTTCTAAAATTTCTAGGCCTTTAATCAAGTTGCTTGAGAAAGATGCTATTTTTGTTTTCGAAGAGGAGTGTTTGAATGCTTTTAACACTCTTAAAGAAAAATTGATTAATGCCCCAATAATGGTTACCCAGATTGGAATCTTCCTTTTGAAATAATCTGTGATGCTAGTGATTTTGTAGTTGGTGTAGTTCTTGGACAGCGTAGAGATAAACATTTTCAACTCATTTACTATGCTAGCAAGACTTTGATCGATGCATAGGAGAATTATACTACTACGGAAAAAGAATTGCTAGCCGTAGTTTTTGCGTTTGATAAATTTTAATCTTACTTAGTCCTATCCAAGATTGTTGTTTACACCGCCATTCTACATTGAGATATCCGTTGAACAAAGCGGATGCTAAGCCCGGGTTGATTAGGTGGATCTTGCTCGTTGCAAGAATTTGATTTAGAAATGAAGGATAAAAAAGGAGCCGAGAACTTGGCCGCGGACCACTCGGCTCAATTAGAGAACCCTCATTTGGAGAAACTTGATGAAGAGGAGATCAATGATGCGTTCCTAGAAGAGCGCCTCTATAGCATTAAATAGGTAAGTGAGCTTGAAACCCCATGGTTTACCGATATCGCTAATTATTTGGTCGCTAAGATCCTTCCTAAGGGACTCACTCATCGACAAAAGAAGAAATTCTTTTCGAATTGACAAACTAGCTTTGGGAGGATCCATATTTGTTTAAGATCTATGCAGAATAGATTATTAGGAGATGTGTGTCCTACTTGGAGGGATGGAAAATCCTAGGTCATTCCCATTTAGGACATATGGGTGGACACTACCATGCAAACAGGACGAGTCGGAAAGTGCTTGAGTCGGGTTTTTATTGGCTTACATTATTTCGGGACGCCCAACGATATGTGAAATCATGTGATAATTGTCAACGTTCAAGTAACAACTCTCAACGTGATGAAATGCCCTAAAACTATATACTCGGTTTGTGAAATTTTTGATATTTAGGGCATTGACTTCATAGGTCCTTTTCCTATTTCGAATGATCATAAATACATTCTTGTGCCAATTGATTATGTGTCTAAATGGGTTGAAGCTCGGGCTTTACACACTAATGATGCTAGGTTGGTGGTAAAGTTTTTGAAAAGGTTTTTTTCACATTTTGGTTCAGCCAAAGCAATTATAAGTGATAGGGGCACGTACTTTTGTAACACTTAATTTTCTAGGTTGCTTATGAAGTATGGTGTTACACATAGAGTAGCTACCTCTTACCATCCACAAAGTAGTGGCCAAGTCAAAGTAGCTAATAGGGAAGCTGGAAAGGATTCAAGAAAAGACCATAGAGCACCATAGGAAGGATTGGTTAGAAAAGCTAGATGATGCTCGTGGGCTTATAGAACAACATACAAAACACCTATAGGCACCACGACTTATAGGTTAGTGTATGGTAAGCATGCCCACTTACCGGTCAAATTTGAACATAAAGCATATTGGGCAATTAAGTCTCGTCAATTTTAACCTTGATCTTATAGGAGAAAACAGGAAACTTCAAATCAATGAGCTTGAAGAATGACGTTTGGCGACCTATGAGAATGCGAATCCGTACAAAGAAAGGGCCAAACAAGTATCATGATTGCAACATTAAGCAAGCCAAACTATTTAAGGAGGGAGATTAAGTACTCTTGTATAACTCCCGCCTTCAATTGTTCCCTAGTAAGCTTAAATCTTGTTGGTCGGGATCGTTCATGGTAAGACAAGTCTTTCCCTATGGCACCATAGAAATCACACATCCGGATAAAGGTACATTTAGGGTAAATGGTCATCAATTGAGGTTATATCTCGGAGGGGATATTGACAACCTTGGTAGAGAGGAGTTCAATCTCTAACCCATAGAACCATGAACTTAAAGAACGTCTAGCTAATGACATTAAACAAGCACTTCTTGGGAGGTAACCCAAGTTTATTTTTCAATATTGTGTTACTTCATTTCTTTGAATTAAAAAAAAAAGGGTTTTCATGTGAGACAAAAAGTTACACGGGATGAGACACGACCGTGTCTCTACCCCGTAACAATCTGTCTACTTTGGGGTTTCAATTGAAAGACACGGCCAAAGACATGATCGTGTCTAAGCCAATGTAGTTGTCTCGTTTGGTTTTGGTGTTCACTAGAAAGACATGGCCAAATACATGACCGTGTAGTTAGTTCGTGTAACCGTCCGTCACGATTTGGGTTACTCTAGAAAGACATGACCTAAGACATGGTCGTGTCTTAGCTCGTGTAATGGCTTTTTAAGGTATATAATTTATATTTTCAAAAACCCCTCGTCTCTTTCAAAACCATACAATTTTTGTTCCGCATCAAAACCCTTTTCCCTCACTTCCCTAACCACAACCCATCTCCACCACGTCGCCACCACCACACACCTACCTCTCGGTTATCACAAGCACATATCTAGTCATCATTACTCGGTCTCTATTCTAATCTTTGAGACCCGAATCAGGTTTGGTATCTAAAATCTTTATTTTTAATGTTGAATCATAATGGGTTTTGATGATTTTACACATGTTTGGTTGTGTTGCTGAATTTGAGAGAAATCAAGGCCATAGATGTGTTATTCCATTTTTAATTTACGGTGTTAAGGTCTATTTTATTTTGGATGCTCGATTTTTGAACAACTTGGTACTTGATTCATTATTGTGTTGTTGGAGCATATGTTGGCTAGTAGTTTTAGGTAGCATTCGGTGTGCAAATATCATTGTATGGGTTGTGGTAGAAATGGACATAAATGTAGAATTATTGCTTAACACAACCACACACTACCCGTTCGATGAATTGCGTGTGAGGGATGTAATTGATGAATATGCTTAGCACAAGTGCCGGGGATGTGATTTTTAAAGCTTCCATTTGTTATATTTGGATTGAATTAATTGTTTGTCTAGTTGCCATTGTTATAAAAAATTATCTCGTTGATCCAATTCTGAATGTCAATAGGAAGATCGCCCATATTATAAATTAATGCTTAACAATTTTCCCGTTGTGCATTATTTTACGAAATTGTTTGATGTCATTCGATTTTCATCTGCTTGTTAAATAGATTTGGATAACCTTTTTGTTGAAGCTTGATAGACACAAGAGAATGACAAGAACTCCGGAGAGACCTCACAAAGAAAGAAAATCCCTTCGAGGAAGAGCCAACAAGATGAGGGCTCATCTAGCCGACCCCGAGATAGATTCAACCTCGGTAGCAACCCCTCTAACCACCACCTAAGCGGCAAATACCAAAATTATCCGGAGCCGAGAAAGATCGATATGAGGTGTTACGGGGAAAACCCTTTCGTAGCCGCAGATGTATAGATTGGGGGACTTTGTAAATGCTAGGGTTAGAGCGGGAAGTTCGGGGCTTGATCTCTATTTATGGTTGGGATACATTCTTTGGGATTTATCCCATTGCTTATCGAGATCTAACATTAGAGGTGCTTTCAACCTTCACAATACGAGGTAAGCTTTGGGGCATGGATATTGATGATGTACTCTAGTTCAAATTGAATGGGAAGCCGATACGGATGATTTACACTACCTTCTCCATCCACATGGGTATTTACTCTCGGGAGTTTGCGAGCAAGCCAAGAATACTACGAGTTGAAAATGGCTTTACCAATGAACGTCGGCTATGCGGATTGTCGTAGACGCATTAGCCATAAGTCATAGTACGACCCTAGCAAATCAAAGAGCACCGCTCCGAAATCTCCCGCAATGAGATACCTCCATAGGTCGTTAGCCTCGCCACTTAATCCTAGGAAGGATAGTCCAGGAGTAATAGGTTCGCAGGATCAACTATGCCTATATAGTATGTCGAGCGCTACCCCATCCATATCGGGTTCTTTTTAGCCAATTTCATTAGGGGACAAGCAAAGAATAAGAAACCCAAGGCGTTTTATGCGGGGCATTATATTACCCGATTGATTAGAGGTATGGGTTATCTTCCCCCGTGTCAAACATGTAAGAGATGTGTCGGATGGATGCCCTCGACTTGAGAGCGCTTAGGAGCATGGGTATGGTAGAGAAGCGTCAAGGACCATAGGGGGCATATTATACACTAATAGATGCCCCGAGCTAGCCACAGTCGATGCGACGAGTAGACGGATATGATGTTGATCGGCGGGTGCCACAAGCCCTACCTCGGGACCCACCCGCACCACCAACTACATCTTCACAAAGGCAAGTCAATATAGCCGAGTTAGTTATGATACAAAGGGAGCACGTAGCTCATTTGCGAGAGGGTAGAGA